ATTTATTCCTGTGATTTCAAAGCTGAATATTTAGCATCATTACTCCAGTCACATGATCCTTCAGAAATCATTCTAATATGCTGATTTGCTGCTCAAAAACATTTATTCTTATAGATTGAAACAAATGTGCCTTAGCCATGATAAAGAATATGAAAAGTGCTCTGAGTTGCTGCAGAAAAAAAAATCGAGCAACAACAAAAACATGTTGCTGGAGACTGGCTTATTGAAAATGCTAATTTATTCTCTGCCAGCAGGAGGCGCTTTTAGAGTGATAAAACTAGCGGTTTCTCCAGTAACGGCTGTAATCAAATCAGCTCCGCTCATGAATGCTACTTTACCAGATAAAAATGAAAATGAAATCGAAACTTTTCTGAAGACAGTCAGTTCCCTTCAGAGATAGTCATATAAAACACCCACACCACTTTTAGATTTTGAAATGTGCAGAGCTCATGTTTATTCAACAAAATCAAACGCCATAAATAAATGTATGGGAAACACTGGTAATGTATATCAGAATATTGTAAATGTGTTTAAAAATCATATCACCGTTATTGAAAAAAATTATATCACGATACATATTGATATTGAATTATTGTCCAGCCCTATGTAAAGTGATTAATTAAACTACTGCAAAATATTGATCTAACGAAAGAATAAAACTATCAATTAAAAATACTTCTCTGCAACGCAGCCTTCTGGGGATCTCTCCATCAATGCACAGTCACTGAAAAGAGGTGCAGGAAAATATAGGTGCACGTCAGGATACGCGTGCTACGCACAACCTACGATGTAGCTACGGTGTAGATCCGACGCAGAAGTATAAATCAACCTTTACGCCGATACCCAGAGACATGGCTAAAAAGTGAGGCTGTAGTGTGTAAGCGTCTGACCCCCATAGATGTAAGGCTACGTTTATACTAGTGCGTTTTCGTTTTAAAACAGCTTCTTAAAATGAAACTATTCCTCGTCCATACTGGTGTGTTTCCACTGCGTTTCAAAAAAGATCTCGGTCCACACTACATGACCAAAAACCACCATAGAGTGTTTGTTCCGAATGCGATCTCATGTGTGATTTGGCAATATATATGTTACTGAAATATATGATTTGTAGCTTATATTAGGCTAATCGCTACACCTGCTTAGCTTTTCTCATGTAAACACCCTGTTTTGTTATGAAAATAGGCAGAATCTCATGAAAATCACATACAAACCATATACTGTCGTAATCATGTGTTTATTAGGTTCATGTTAGGGCTGGGTGATATAGCTAAAAAATGTATCAACGATATAATGTTTCATATCGTTCAGTATCGATAATCATTGACATTTTTTATAACCTTTTTTAAAACAGAGCAAGATCATTTTTTTTTTACATTTAACCACTGTATTTTTAAGGTAACTCAATTTATTGAGACAAACAACAAATATTTTCTGTTTTAACAGTCAAACACAAAAGAAAAGTTAAACTTATATGTAGCTCATTTCTGATGTTTTATATGCAGATTAAATAGGTTAAACATTTGGCTTGTTTCCCGAGGCCACAGGAGGGCGCAATGAGCAAAATATGCAGCAATGCAGCACATTAAATTGTCAATGCAAGGAAATAACTATCTATAAAAACCATACATTCTAAATTAACTCATATAAATCAAATATAATTTCGTAAATTGCATAAACAATTATGAACAAAACAGTATCACGTATTTATGCATTGCTTAATATAAAAAGCCGAATCGCCCATCATGGAGATTGCATTTTAAAACATTAAAAAGACGCAGTGAAAAGGAATAAACCTCCACAAATTTGTGACGTGTTTTCTAAAAGTTTAAACTGTTTTAACTTTGCATGGCTTTCGCGAGTGCAGCAGTCATATTTGTCCGTCTAGAAAATGCGCTGAATATGCATTCTGTGTGAATGGCTTAGTTTCGGTTTTAACCCATTCAAGATCTTCTACGCATTGAGCTACTATATTTCTCTAATATTTTGAATGAATAACTGCGCATCTCGTGGGGTAGACTAACAAAACATTAAACTATAATGTAGAGCTGGGCGGTATGACCAAAAATTTATATCACGGTATTTTTCTAAATTATACCGGTTTCACGGTACATGACGGTATTTTTTTTTCATGCATGCACCGGGTGTCAACCATATTTTCTCCTGATTGAGAGGAAATACTGCAGTATATTGACTTAGAATGCCCTATTTTACTGTCATGATGAGTGAATATTATCAAAAAATGCCACACTAAATAGTGACTAAACACGACCCCTTTTAATACACGTTAACCAGGAGTCACTCTCATTTATAATCGCGGCATCGTCTGATAAAATCAACATGCATCTACACTAAAGAGCGGCTATGCAACTTTCACGCTTAGTAACACATACAGCTGTTCCCTCACCACAGTGCAACAGTGTTTGAAACGGGTCCATTTTCAGTGTCGCATTCCGAACGTTGTTTAAGCGATATACACCGGTATTGCGGTATTTAAAAAATTCATATCATAACAAAAATAAACACCGGTATTCGGTATGAACCGGTATACCGCCCAGCACTACTACAACGTCACTTACACCATCATCACCGCATCTCGTGCTCCACTGATGACGCTCCCTGACGCACACCTAACATTCGATTGTACTATTTTTGCATTCAAATGCAAATGTTTATTTTAAATTCGACTAATATTCATTTTTCTATTCACAATCTCCTCATCACAGGCAGGCACAGCACTCATGTTCGTGTTTGTGTGTGCTGTCTGCGTCACTCATAGCACGTGCCTATATCGAACATTTTTTATATCGATATCGAAGAAGGTGTACCATCGATAAATATTGATACCGTTTTATCGCCCAGGCCTAGTTCATGTTTCATCCGTAGGAATGTTTTTCTGGGTTTCTTAAGTGAATGCGGAAGTGTGATGGATGTTTGTCATAGGAGAGAGAGCGGGTTACGAACAGCGAATGAGCTTCCTCGGAGTCAGAACAGCGATCGCGGAAGAGAAAACACAGACAGACAGCGCTGGAAGCAGCTAATGCTCATCAGAAAATCAGTGGGAAATGAATAGAAATGATTATTTCTGAGCAATTCATTTTAAAACAAAAACGCACTGTTGTAAACGCACCCTAAAAGATGTGTAAACTGAAAACTGTTTGAACTTTATTAAAACTATTTGCACTGATTTATTGTGTTGCTTACATTTTGTTCCTTTGTTTCGTTGTGCAGTGGCTCAGGACATGAGTCTTTGAGTATGTAAAAACGTCAACAAGCTGAAAAAAAAAGTTTTTTTTATTTTTTGAGGTAATGTAATCTTGTTAAAAACACATTTCATATCAAACAAAAAGTATCGTTCAGTAGCCGGTATCGAGGTCAAGGTATCGGTATCGGTATCGAACATTTTTGAATGATACCCAGCCCTACGGTCCATCTTTGTCCTTCTGGGTAAAGGCATTTTCGATAGTATGTTTTTTAACCCTCAAAGACCGAGATAGCTAAAAATAACTATTGTTCTTAAATGTTTAATAACTTTTGAACCGCTAATCCTATCTGAATGCTTTAAAAAGTGCTTTTTGGAGATATCTCATTTGTCTTATTTGGATATTCAGAGGCTCTGTAGTGTACGTGATTACGTCATCACATTTTGACAACATTGATTCGTCATAAGAAACTAATGCATTTCGTTCCTCTGAGCCAAACAGAAAGGATTGTTCATGCTTAGTCCCAACCCGTGCCCAGATTGGTTCAAACTGTCCCATATTCAACCAATAAACATAGTTTTTGTTCTTTTGAACCACCATTTAGGATTTTTCATTGGATGTTTGAACAAATGCAAAGTGAAAGTAAAGTCTGTGCGTGCATGAAAACAAACACAAAATAACACATTAGCATGAGAGCACTCTCTGAAAAAGCTCAGAAAAACACACGACTGAGTACTTTGACATAAAACAAACCAAAAACAAGAATGAAACAGCGGTACATATCAGATAAAGCACTGGAATTTATGTCTTTGCGAGGCGATGTCCTGGTAAAATCGATTCCGACGCAGAGTACAGCTAACGGATCGATCATATATATTATGTATATTATGTAAATAATTTAAAGATAATTTTCACAATTTTTTCTGTTGCACTCTGTATATTTCTCACTCATTTTGTGTGTAGTTTGTGAATCATTTGCACTTTGTATTTTTGTTGCAGAAGACAATTTGTGCAATTGTTTTCACTAAATATCTGCACGTTTGTTGTTGTTAATTTTTTCTGTTGCACTCTGTATATTTCTCACTCATTTTGTGTGTAGTTTGTGGATCATTTGCACTGTTTGTATTTTTGTTGCAGAAGACAAATTGTTTTCACTAAATAGATGCACGGTTTGTGTTTGTTGTTGTTCATACTCAGATTGAAAATATAGTTCTCTGAAAAAGTAACTTTTTTACTGTGTTTTGTTATTATATAACACTGATTCCATTTTCTTTACCCCTAAACGTTTTTTGGACACATCTATATTGTTAGTAAACTAAATAGACCTGTTTTTCACTGAAAAGCGCCTATAACAGTATTGTAATAAATGGCTATAACTTGCTTGGGGAATGTTATATGTAGACAAAGTTTTATTTGGAAGTGTAAAAAACCCAGATACAACATTCTAAAGAAAAAAATCCAAACTTCAGGAGCTTCTGTTTGAGTACACAGTAAAAACACCCAATTGTTGCTTGCGTTCTTTTTAAAATTCTGGAAATTCATTAATTCTTAGAGAAAACAAAAAGAAAATTGAGACTTTAAATTAGCTAGACTGAGACTTCAAGTTCTCCTGTTTATAATGATATATGACACTTGATGCTGACTGCTAGAATAGGTCTTAAAAAACAAAGAAAAGTGCAGGCCCCTGTCAGGTGCCCCAAAAATGTTCTAAATCTTTAAGGGTTAAGGCACTGTATTTACCCCTTATTGTTCTGTCTGTTTCATCCTCTCCATGTTTTGTTTGTTTGTTTGTTTTTTTAGATCTAGAAACGGATGAAAACACATCATTTTACATCCTCAATGTGGGGCAACCTCCTTTAGTGGTGAGCCAATCACACAGTCTCCAGCGGCATGGAGGCCCTCCCCCAGCCATCTCCCCCTACCTGCAGGCCCACCACAAGACCTATGAGCCCATCTATGAGCTCCAGGACTCTAAATACACGCCCACAGGGGTGGGCGGAGGAGGTAATGGCCCACCAAAGACCTTTGAATGTCCCAGCATCCAGATTACTTCCATCTCCCCAAGCTGCCAGCAGGAGATGGAGACCAGCGAGAATGAGATGAGAGCGAAGGGTCCGGATGGAGACTACCACGACAGACCTCTGTCTCGAGACCACCTGTACCTGCCTCTAGATCACTCGTATCGAGATTCATCCTTGAGCCCGAGCCCATGTAGCAGCCTTTCCTCTCGTAGCTGGTTCTCTGACGCATCGTCCTGCGAATCCATCTCGCATGTATACGATGACGTGGATTCAGAGCTAAATGAAGCAGCGGCCCGTTTCACCCTGGGCTCGCCACTCACCTCGCCCGGCTGCTCTCCACAGACTGGACCACATGAGGAAGTGTGGCAACAGCAGCAGCAGCAGCAGCATCATCATCACATGGCTTTCACTCACTCTCTTTCTCATTCGCATGGCCATTCTCTCTCGCCCCGCCAGTCGCCTTGCCACTCACCCCGTACCAGCGTCACAGATGAGAACTGGCTTAGCCCTCGTTCACCCTCACGGCCCTCTTCACGTCCAACATCGCCCTGCGGGAAGAGACGCCACTCCAGCGCTGATATATGCTACCTGGGCTCTCTATCACCCCATCACTCCCCGACTGCCACGCCCGGCCCCTCGCCCAGGGGCAGCGTGACCGAAGACACCTGGATAGGAAGCCCGTCTATGGGTGTGTCCTCTTTCCAGTGTTGTCCCTCTGAGGCTGACATCCCCTCCAAGACAAGAAAGACATCCCAGGACTGTTCAGGAGCAATCCAGTCAGGAAAGGGCGACCTGGGCATGGATGACTCTGGGAATGTATCTCCTTTGCTTGACTCACCTGCTGAGGAAGCCATGCACGGATTAAAGAAGGATGGATCTGGAGAGCAGTTTCTTTCTGTCCCATCTCACTTCACATGGAACAAACCCAAACCAGGACACACACCTATTTTCAGGTAAACTCCCTCCTCTGCTTTGAAGTGACATCAGGATAACCATTATTGAGTTCATGTGAGTAAAGCTCTACAATGCTTCTTTCTTGCAAGTGTTCATGTGTATAGACAATAGCTCTATTCCAAAACCAGAGTAAATTAACTGCATTGTCAGCATCCTTCAAAGACAGCATCCAAACTGACAGAGAACCTCATGTGACTGATTTAGCAGCAACGTTTTTTGATGGTCTCTCACATGCAGCACACAAATAGCACTTTGTACTTAAAGCACAAGAGACGCAATTTCTTAGTTAGGCATGGTCAATACCAATAATTACTTTCATTTTATGTCCAATAAGCAATAAATGGGAGATATTAAAATCCTATACTATTTTGTCCAAATAAATTTCTGTATTTAAGCACGATTAATCACACCTAACATTAAAATCAATGGATAGATTTTGACATTGAATCTCTTGAATTAATACATTAATACAACATAAAGACAGTATTTAAAAATATCTGACATTAGCATACCTCATGAAGTGAAAATGTGGATAGTTAATTATTTTTTAATACATTATTGACTATGGAAATAGTCAGCTTTTAAATAGGGCTACAGATGTTTTTAGGGAAACTTTTTCATGTTTTTGAAATTAAAATTAGAGTATGTCTATAGTCTGTTATTTATCCATTTTTGATATACATGTACAGTATATATATATATATATATATATATATATATATATATATATATATATATATATATAAAATACAAAAAAGAGAATAAAATGACATTTTAATATATTAATATGACCATAAACCAACATCAGAAAACGTGAATGTGAACAAATATCACATGAACAAACATTAATAAACATGAAAAAAGCAACGACATGGTCAAAGTCTTCAAGGTTTTAAATGTTTTTATCAGCTATACAGTTTTTCATCTCATACATGCTATAATTGACTGAGAGGTGCTTTTGTCCCCATGCAGATTCAGATGCATGGATTGCAAATTACTTAACTCATTGCAAAGTATTCTGAGGTTGTCTTAAAGGATAGTTCACCCAAAAATTTTAATTCTGTCATCATTTACTCAGACAAAAGAAGATATTTTGTAGAATGTTGAAACAATTTTGATTACCATTGACTTTGATTGCATGGACAAAACATTCTTCAAGACATTCTTCAATATATTGTCTTTCATTAACAGAAGAAAGTCCGTTTAAAATAAGGGTGAGAATGACATATAGGTGAGTAAATGATGACAGAATTTTCACTGTTGTGTGAACTATCCCTTTAAACATGAAGAATATATGTGAAGTATTAAATAATGAAAAGCCTTTATTTCAGTGATGCCCTACAGTATTTGTAGTTAGCTCACTACTTTTAGAACAGATCCAGTATATATTTAGAGTAGCATGAGGCAGTTGAGTGAGCTGAAGAACAGAAATAGTTAAATGTGTTTCTGCTATCCATATCAGAGCATCAGATAATGGCCGTGTGTGTGTGTGCATGCTAGTCAGATGAAGACGGCCTATGTGTGTACCCTGGCCTCTTTCACCATAAATCAGTAAAGAGAGCGTGTGGCTGTGGGTCACAAACGTTTTCCTACCCACAATGATTCTGATATTGACCGCACCAACACAACACAGTTTTTGACTTAGTCAGGCCTCTTATTAATAATCCACAATGTATAGTAAACACACTTGATTCTAAAGTTGCATAAGAAATAAGCACATAGTCACACAACTTGCTCTCCTCCTCACAAACATGTTGAGAAACACGTTGGAGCACGTAGGAGTGTTGACTAAGGCCGGGACACAACAAGCCGACATCTTTACAGCCGTACCTTCATACAACAGACATGATACTTGATCCCTGTTATATGAGCCCACAGCTCTGCTGTCTGCCATCGGACCTGTTTGTGAGTGAGTGAGTGAGTGAGTGAGTGAGTGAGTGAGTGAGTGAGTGAGTGAGTGTGTGTGTGTGTGTGTGTGTGTGTGTGTGTGTGTGTGTGCTGACTGCTCCATCAATCAACAGCAATAGAAAGATCTAGAAGCTTGTCTGGTTTAACAGATGGGTTTGCTATGGCGGGGTGGGTGAATTGGCACAGTATTAAGCTGTAGTCTATAGCGGATCTAGTTTAGGGCAGCCAGCTAAACATAACAAACAAATTTCTTAACAAATAAATATAACAATTAGACATTTCTTGCTGGATGAAGGACCATCACCTTCAACTCAACCTTGCCAAGACAGAACTGCTTGTGGTTCCAGCAAACCCATCGTTTCATCACAATTTCACCATCCAGTTAGGCACATCAACCATAACTCCTTCAAAAACAGCCAGAAACCTTGGAGTTATGATTGATGATCAGCTGACTTTCTCAGACCACATTGCTAAAACTGCCCGGTCCTGCAGATTTGCTTTATTCAACATCAAGAAGATCCAGCCCTTTCTTTCGGAACATGCTTAACAACTCCTTGTTCAAGCTCTTGTTCTGTCCAGGCTGGACTATTGCAATGCTCTCTTGGCAAGTCTTCCAGCCAGTTCTATCAAACCTTTACAGTTAATCCAGAACGCGGCAGCAAGATTCATTTTTAATGAGACAAAAAGAATGCACTTTTACAGACTTTTAAATTAAATATTCCCTCCTGGTGGAATGACCTGCCCAACTCAATCCGAGCAGCTGAGTCCTAAGCCATCTTCAAGAATTGGCTAAAAACACATCTCTTCCATCTTTATTTGACCCTCTAACTCTATTCTTAAAAAATGTTTTTTTTAGACTTTTAGACTTGCACTCTATTCATTTGCTGCTTGTTTTCTTTAAAAAAAAAAACAAAAAAAAAAACTAACTAACACTTGCTTTCTAATCTTTTTGTATTCCATCTGTTCCCTTTCAGTCAGTCACGTTCTACGTTACTCAGATGAAGACACACACCTGCTTGCTCTTAGGACTGGTAAATGTATCAAATGTGCATGATGTTTTTACTTTAGTTAAACATTCATGTGTAAATAGTCTGCCTTTCTTGCAAGAGTCAGGCTGCCACTGGTCGGCCCAGATTGACAGCTGGCCAATCCCGTCAAAGCTGCCAGAATATGCTAACATTTTGGAAATAAACAAACTACATTTTGTCATATGCAGAGTAGTCATAGCTCACATGCATATCACCATAGTTCTATTATATATACACACTATCATTCAAAAGTTTGGGGTTAATTTATTTCATCATTTTAATTTGCTGATTTGGGGCTCAAGAAACATTTCTTATTATTATCAATGTTGAAAACAATTATGCTGCTTAATATTTGTGTGGAAACTGTGATACTTTTTTGAGGATTCTTTGATGAATAGAAAGTTTGAAAGAAGAGCATTTATTTGAAATATAAATATAATTTTTTATCAAATTAATGCAACCTTCCTGAATAAAATTATTAATTAAAAATAAAAATGTACTGACTCCAAAATTATGAATGGTGGTGTAAATGCAGAGTAGTGTGAAGACATTCTTGAATAGTGTAGATTTAAACTTCAAACTGGTGTTCATTGTTGTGTACCAGAGTTGTGTACGTACAAGGCAAGTGTACATTATCACGAAGTACAGCCTTTTAATGTCCACAGGCCACTAGGCCACTACCGTCACACCCATTCAGCCTTCTCACGTTTCCCCTGATGATCCATCTCACGTTACTATGACAGCATGAGGAGTGAGGGGTTTTCGGGAAAGAGAGAGGATGGAGAGGATGTGGTAGAGAGCTACACTAAAAAACAAAAAAATCAGTGATCACTGATTTACCCTTTTGTCATTCATAAATTATGTTTCACTAGTCATAAGTTTTGCACGTCTTTAAATGCATAGTTCACCCAAAATATTAGAACTCTGTCATCATTTACTTACCCTCATGTTGATCCAACCCTGTGTGATTTTTTTTCTTCTGCTGAACATTAAAGAAGATATTTTAATAAATGTCTTAATGTTAATCTTAATGGGGTTTTTTTGTACATATAACAGAAGTCATTGCTAAATAACAAAATAACTGCTTTTGTGTTCAGTAAAAGAAAGTCATATAAGTCATATAAGTTTGGAATGGTATGAAGGCAAGTAAATGATGACACTATTTTCATTTTTGGGTGAGCTATCTCTTTAAACAGTTCTCACTGAACTGCTCTGCATCTGAAAGGTGACATACAATGTTACTGGCTGTGTTAGCCTTTAACCTGCCCTCACAGAAGAATGTTGCATCATGGTCTTTGTTCCCAAGTCTAATTTCACATTTTTTTGTTCAAAAGTCTACATTTCTAATTTAGAGAACATATTTTAACATCCAAAGTAATATCATTTGCAGCTCAGAGGAGATCATACACTTTTTTTGATGTTGTGTTTTTCTTTGAGAGTTTTCTAATTTGTCCTGCATCTCAGAGGACAACCATATCGCAAGATATGTATTAGCTTTCGCCGTACACCGCAGCTGCACAACTTTATTTTCAAATTTCATTAGGTACAAATGCTAGCTTTCCCGAACCACATTGTCTTGCATAGTACTGTTTCATGGGAAGTGGGAACCATCTCTGGCAGCAACACGGAAACTTTTTGAATATCAAAAAACATTTGTTCAGATTCTGTAGTTGTGTTGAGCAAAATAACATAAAATCTATGCATCCTAAACTGTTGCATAGCTGCTCACTGACATGATCATCTTGCTTGATATGTTTTCATTTATTATAGTCAATCTACTACCCGAACACTATGCATTGTGTAACTGCTCTGTTTGTGTTGCTCTTGATCTGCGTGTAGGGCGTCATCCCTGCCTCCCCTGGACTGGCCGTTGCCGAATCAGTATGGGCAGTACGAGCTAAAGATCGAGGTTCACCCCAAAGCTCATCACCGAGCTCATTATGAGACCGAAGGCAGCCGAGGGGCCGTCAAAGCCACTTCTGGGGGACACCCTGTCGTCAAGGTGAGTCTCCACAATAGGACGATTACTGATGAAGTCATTTTCACTGACTATCGTTTCTGGCCGAATACATTTGTTTTACCACCACCCATTTGGCTGATTGTACGAGAGGTACTTGGTTTTGGATCGTCGTACGAACCCTTTTGGCCTTGAAGTACTCATTACGCTGGCCACAAAAGTGGGAACCGAGCATGATGCCATCCGTTCCCTCACAGGAAGCAGAATTTGAGAAGAGCGAGACCACACAGAAAGCTTCTGCTGTGTGGCCTAGTAACCTCATTACTGGTCATAAAATTCCTTTTACTGGGTAACAGCTAGCGAGCGAGTGTTTTGGTGTCAGCTAGATCTAAGCAAACTGTGTAGCAGTCTGATTAGGGACTTTATTTTCTACCGACTGCTCTGTGCTACTTGTACTAGCGGCTCACCGGGGGGATCATGGGAGCGTGCTTCAGCAGAGGTGATGGCATCATTTATGTAAAATGAAGGCCAATTAGTATCCTGCTGTATCATGATCGGATAGGTAAGCTTATCTGGCACTCTCCTGAGGCTAGCTCTCCTAGAGAGACTAAGAGAGAGAGCGCTTGTTGGTAAATATTTTATGGTCTTGGAGGCAGTGGCCTCTTTTGTGGCAGCCGTAATGAAGCACACATACAACTCAGGAACCAAGATCATTGAACATATGAGGAAGAGAAGGCGGCCTTTTTCCCTGAATCATAACCTCCGGCTTTGAATGTTCAATTAAACAACCACAATTACAGGCCTGCATTTCTGCCACATCACACCTCAGTCTTGTGTCTTGTGGGCCATTAATAGGCAGTCATTTCTTGTTTATGACCTTCTTTAGGTCACCTGCATGATCATCTTTCATTATCAGACATCTCATCTCTTTCATACTGCAGGACTGCCTCTACAGTGCCCTTTGTTCCAATTCTTCTTGGTCAGTTGGAGCCATTTTGGTAAGACTTTATTTTAAGGTGTCCTTGTTACACATGTTACATGTACTTACTATTATAATAACAATTAATTATGCATAATTACATGCAAGTAACCCTAAGCCAAACTCTAATCCTAACCCTAACCATATAGTAAGTACATGTAGTTAATTAATATTACTCAGTACTTAAATGCATAATTACCCTGTTACAAGGACACCTTAAAATAAAGTGTAACCGTTATTTTTTATGTTTCTTTGCACTTTTTCTGGACTGTGCCATGTTAAATTTATTGACCTCAAAAGCAAATGACAAAATATTTGGGTAGTAAATCTCTCTGATATAGTTTGTTCTGAGTTTGTGTGCATAGGTGGTTGATATGGCATAGGTTTATATGTGCCCAATGGTTCATATTGAAGATAGTAATGAACAATAAATTAGTAAATTATAAATCAAAGTACTTTGAAGTAGTACTTTGTCTTGTTTCATAATGATATTATTGATGCATTAATTGAGTATGCTTAAAATTCAATCAGTGCTCAAACATTTCTGTCAAGGGCTGAAAATCTAAAGCCTTATGATGATCATAGTCATAGATATGTTTTTATTTACAAATGAAGTTTGTATGAACAATTACTTGGACACATCTGTGGCGAAGAAGTCAAAGATGTCAGGAAGATCAGATAACATCTTTGAAGGACATCTGAGGAGGTTTTGCCACATCACTCTTTCTATAAGATGGTATTATTGTAGTGAAGGTCATAATGTGTGACGTGTGTTCATAGAAAAATACCCTTTACTCTTCTTTTTTTTTTTTGCCATTAAATAGAATCCTTCCGTATGTGCTGGACACTTGCTGGTTGCATTATAAACCATATGAAATAATAATTTCATGATCATTTGAGTTGTTTTATTATAATTATTTTGAGGTAGTGATGTTCAAAATAATCATTAGCTATATGGCAGTTATTTTTGTCTGTGAAAAATATAAAAAATGTTTTAAGTTGGAAATTAATCATTTTAATTAAAGTTGGTTTGTCAAAATTATTAAAAAATGTTCAAGAGACAGGTGTTTCAACATATTAACAACATGCGCATGGAAAATCTCCCATACCTTCAGACCTTTCAGCGAGCAGCTGTTTACAATAATGTTTCCCATGATGCTTTCTGGGGCATGCGCTGCTGGAGTCTTAGGCTGCTACTGTGGAGTATCTGTTGTTGTGACGTCAGCAGGTGACACCGCAGACTCCATCTGTCCTGGGAGTGAGCCTCTCTGCGGTGACTGGATCTTAGAGATGGCGAACAGACTTACTGAGCCATATTGCCTTCAGCAGCACTTACTCTGCCAATTAGCCAGGAGGACAGACCCATACACCTGTATGCGAGGTGTAAACTAGCACAGACACTGTATGCGTGTTTTTATGTATACACCAGGCAAAAGATGGTAGTACCTCCAAAAAAAAATTGGATGAGGAAGTACTCATTAAATATAAACGAATATTATAAAATAAGAGATGAAATAGTGTGTGAATCAAATTTCATTGAAATGAACTTAAAATGATTATCTCCGAGTGAACTGTTAAACAGTTAAATTAAAGGTATACCTCCATGCCCCTGACCTTCATTACACTTGCTGTGTTTACAATTGTTGACTAATGGACCAAAAAGAAGGTAACTATTAATAGTAGGCGAACAAACGGCCACTAGTGGCTAATAAGAATAAAAAGCCACAAAATATGCTTTTTATTCTGTTACTGTAGTTATCAATGCCATTGCATATGCCTTTAACTCAGAAACCATATAAACATCAAATGTAATTGAAACACCAGTTTATACTGGATAAAGAAAACAAGATTTTATAGATTAATTCGAATTTAATATTTTGCCACGATTAAATTTTTTATAAATCGAGGAATCACGATTTTGAATAGAAATATTACCAAACATTCGAATTAGACACTTTGACAATATGCCAATGTTAACAGTAAAGAGAAAATAATGATCCAACTGCATGTCGGTGCACGTGATTAACCGCTCACATCTGAAAAACACTGTGAAGGACCATTAGGTGCCATTCACATAGAATGCGCTTTTGTATTGACAAAGATGCGACGCAGGCAGTGGAATAGGAAAAAATGCTGGAAGATGGGAGTTGAACTTCTTTTAACTTGAGCGCCGTGTTTTTAGAATGCCGTTTCGTGCAAGAGACGCGAGTGCAATGGTCAAACGTGTCCATGTTCACATGAAAAAAACAATGGAAAAGCAGCGCAATCGAATAAAAACCTGTAAAGAAGTACTACTGTATGTCTGATATTTCATGTTTGCATCATGGTGACAGGCTGAGAGCTGCTGTTCATTGTTTTTACAGAACATTTATAGTTAATAATAGTCTACTGCTGTTATACCTTCAGTCGTTTTGAATTTGAATTACCTTGACTTTTGAGATTTATTTTTTTTACATTTTCCTTGTATTATTTCTGAACATATAATATGTATAAGACAAGTTTGTACAAATATGTAGTTGTAGTTGCATTTTTTTGCAAAGATATTTAACAAGTCATTTGTTTAACATTTACATCATGTTGACAACTTCATGTGTGGTGCACTTGGAATATAAATTTCTTTATCTAGAGGGTTAATAAAGAAAAAGTTACTTGAATCATGTTGTAGTAACATTTTCAAGTTGACCAGTTAAAAATTGTAAAAGTCGAGAATCGGTCAAACGTTCTGAAAAAAATTTAGATTTCTCTCTTTTTTTTCCCCCCATATCGCCCAGCCCTAGTTGGCCAACAGACAGACTGTTTTAAGTGAGTGTTATAACCTAAAAGATCATTTGTGTGAGTGAATGTTGTTATTGTTTACAAAAATTATTAAAAATAATTTTCATTATGAAATAAAGTGGAAATAAAGTTAAATATTAAAGTTAGGTGAAAAACTTAAATGAAAAAGAATGAAAGATTATTTTTAAGTTGTTCTAAAATTACTCAAACTAAAACAGAAATACAAAGCTAAATAGAGATATACGTTTTTTTTTTAAAATGACAAAATCAAAAATACTAAATTACTTGAAAATGAAAACTGAAAATAAATGCTTTATTAGTCATTAAAACTAAAATAACACTGAATGAATGTGAATGTGTGCGAGTGTTTGTTTGTGGATGATCTGACTGGATACTTCACCTACAGCTCTGTTTTCTGTAGTTGCTTTCAGTACTATGTTTCATCCTGAAGCAGAAGAATCTATCCTATCCACCCTGTCCTTTGTGCATTTGTCTTAGAGGCGCAATATTTAATAGTTAATGTGTAGAGTAAGGAATGGGCCAGTGGTGTGAATGGTGGACCTTACACAAAGGTCATGAAGTTACAAGAAGTTTGTGAAATCACGTCCTGCAGCACTTTACCACTCCAGTTATTGTGAGAGAAATCAGAGATGCGATTTGTGGTGAAATCGAGAAATGTGTGTAAGTGTGTCTATCAGTGGTGTATAAGTCAAGCTGCCATAACAGAAGGCTGCGGATTGCAGCGTACAGTAGCCAGACAAACACCAGCAAAACAAAGTGACAGTGTTTACTGCTAGTGTTTGGACTGGGCTAATTCACAGTTCAGAGATCTACGAGGAATGCTGTGTAATGCTCTACAAGCTGCGCCTCACTCTCTTTGGGTTCACTCTTAACCAAAATCAGCACACCTGTTGCTAGGAGACATAGACGTTCTGAACCCATCTGGCATAGACTTTCCTGAATGTGGTGTGTGTGTGTGTGTGTGTGTGTATGTATGTTAAATATCGCAATAGAACTGGTTAAACACAAAGACACACACACAAAGGGCAGCAGAGTTTACATTTGCCGTAGGATCTGTTCAAGTGTTTTATTCTCAGAGAAATTCACTTGTACCTTTCACCCAGGGCTTTTATGTAGATAAAAAGGCTCAGTGGAATCAACACACATGGTGGAAACCAGCTTTATAAAAAATTGATTACCCTGTGCTTTTAAAAGCAAAAATGGTAAAGTAAAATTCTGGAGAAACTCTACTGACAGCATCCATTGCAGGCTGTCAATTATCTCAGAGAAG